TCTGCCTCCTCAGTAGCTACCATTTTTTGTTGTTGAGACAGGGTCTCACTCTGTCACCCAGGGTAAAGTGTGGTGGCACAATCACGGCTCACCGCAGCCTCAAACCCCTGAGCTGTAATCCCAGCTACCCAGGAGGCTGAGACAGGAAAATCACTTGAACCTGGGAGGCAGAGGTTGCAGTGAGCTGAGATTGTGCTACTGTACTGCACTCCAGCCTGAGTGACAGCAAACCATTAGATAAATTGGCAAAATGTACATACAAACAACTAATTCACAAAACAAGAAAAATTTTAATAAGCGCTTAGATATATGGAAATACACTCAGCTTTACTCTTAAGAAGAAAATGCAAATGAAAACTGTAGTGGAATATTTTTTAGCCTTTTACATTTGCAAAGATCAAAAAGTTTAGCACTAGTCATGATTAAAATGATTATTGTTATTTTGTGTGCCAGCTATTAGGTACTTCAAAATATGTATATTTTTAAGGCTAACACTTTATTAGTGAGAAGACATAAACACTGTTGTATATTTGGGTGTGAATCACAAAATGTCTACTGAGGGCAATTTGGCAATAGCTGTAACGTTTTTTCTATCATATACCTTTTGATGCAGCAGTTCCATTTCCAGAAAATTATTCACACGTTATAAACATATAAGGACATTTGTGCAATGTTGTTAGTATTTGCAAAAGATTGGAATCCACCTACATGCCCCATCAATAAGGAACTGGTTAAATAACAGTTCGTCCTCACAATGGAACTTTATGCAGTCATTTAAAAAGTATGAGGAAGATCTATAGGTACTGACAGGGAAAGAGCGCCAAGATACAATAAGTTAAAAAAAAAAAAAAAAAAAAGCAGGCCGGGCGCGGTGGCTCAAGCCTGTAATCCCAGCACTTTGGGAGGCCGAGACGGGCGGATCACGAGGTCAGGAGATCGAGACCATCCTGGCTAATACGGTGAAACCCCGTCTCTACTAAAAATACAAAAAACTAGCCGGGCGAGGTGGCGGGCGCCTGTGGTCCCAGCTGCTCGGGAGGCTGAGGCAGGAGAATGGCGGGAACCCGGAAGGCGGAGCTTGCAGTGAGCTGAGGTCCGGCCACCGCACTCCAGCCCGGGCGACAGAGCGAGACTCCGTCTCAAAAAAAGTAAAAATAAATAAATAAATAAATAAATAAAAAAGCAAGGTGTAGAATAGCATGCTATCTATCATTTGTACTTCAAAAATGCACATGCTGATATGTGCACAGACTCTCCCAGGAAGGACACACAAGTTGCTGGGAAGAGCAGGTGCCTTTGTGGAGAGAAACTGGGTCACCATGAAGCAGGGGTAAAAAGAAATTTGTTTTTCTATTTGTAACTTTTAAATTTTATACTTATAGTGCCTATTCAGAAATAAATATGTAGATAGATAAATGAAATGTATGGTTGTCCAAACAAAAATATGTGTATCAGAATTGTAAATGGAAGGTCATTCTTCTTGACTTATAAAAATCTAATTTGGGAGATTCCGAGTTTATGAAATTGGAGAAGCTAAAGGGTTTCCCAGCCATCCTGTCTCCATTGCTCACTCTTGTACTTCCACACTCCATTCTATTTCCTTCTTTTGGTCCCTGTGAGGCCTCTCTTTATTTGTACTATGGCTGCTGTCCAGCCCTCTTCCATCTCTATAGCCCAGCTCTTTGCTTCCCAAAGAGTGTCTGCCAGCCACGGAGCCACTGAGCAGGCAGCCCTCTGAAAACAAACGCCTATGAGGCCCCAGATCTTGGTGAATCCAGATGCCAACCTGGTTTTCACTACAGGGTTTCAGCAACACTCTACTTTCAGAGACCCACCCATGACCACAACAATCCCATTTCCAGGAGTTTATTCTATGAAGACCCTCTGATGAAATGTATCCTATCTTCAAGACTCTTCTAAACTTTTGTTGGTCAAGACTGTGGCTTTAAAATGATCAGAGACTTCTTAAAAAATAATGGTAGATATAAAACTACCTCTACTTCTGCTACCATAAGGAAGCTTAGTGACATATTTTTATGCCTTTAGCTTAGATTAACATGTAAGTAGACTCAAACACAGGGACTCACCACTGTAAGTAGAAGGGAACACACCTTCTTGGACTGAACCACAGTGTAACACTTGTTTTCCTTCACCTGAGACACAGCTTAATCATAACTTCTGCCCTCAGCTACTTATTTACTTGGACTTGCATGTGATGGTGCCTGAATACAGTACATTCCCAGCAGGAGGGGCAAAGGGCCAGTGATGTGACAAGAGAAAGGCATATTGAATTTACCTGAAACTCACAGATACTATCTCCAGGAGGAATGATGGTTGCCTCCACATTAGAGTTCTAATTCTGAAAAATTGTGAAATCCAAATTTAAGTCGTCATCAAACTAATGAGGTCTGGGAAGTGACAAATATTAGATGATTGATAGGGGTTGTACAACCTGTTTTTGTATTTATAAATTGTGTAACAGTGTGTGGCAGTGTTTTATTGAAACAAGGTTTTCCTAGCCAGTAATAAAAATGCTGTCCCCTGGCCGGGCGTGGTGGCTTATGCTTTGTAATCCCAGCACTTTGGGAGGCCGAAGCAGGCAAATCACTTGAGACCAGGAGTTCAAGACCAGCCTGGCCAATGTAGTGAAACCCCGTCTCTACTGCAAATACAAAAATTAGCCAGGCATGGTGGCAGGCGCCTGTAATCCCAGTTACTCAGGAGGCTGAGGCAGGAGAATCACTTGAACCCAGGAGGTGGAGGTTGCAGTGAGCGGAGATCACGCCATTTCACTCCAGCCTGGACGACAAGAGTGAAATTCCATCTCAAAAAAATAAATAAATAAAAATAAAAATGCTGTCCCCTAATAGGCGAAGTCAGGTTTTGTCATTATAAGCATGACTATCTCACTGCTTTGAAATTTCTACTAAAATCCTTTCAGGCAGAGACCATAACTGATGCTTAAAGTGGGTTGGAGATGGGAGGAGAAATAACCTGCCAAGGTCAAGTGAAGGTTGGTCCTGTGTCTCCAGCATCTTCTACTGCTTCTATGGATACTTAACAACTGCCAGCTCACTTACCTGTCTCACCTACAAAGCTCTGAGCACCCTGACAGCAGGGACCAGTCCAGTAAATATTTGTTGAAATAGGCGGATTGGTTTTTTTGGTTTGTTTTTTCAGTTGACTCTTAGTCAAAGTCCGTAACAGGGCTTTGTCTTCTGGTTAAAAAATAAATAAAACCTGATTTCCTTATTTTCATGATTTAAATGAAACCTGTTCAGCTTCGTTGACCGTAACTTTACAGTTGCTGAGAGGCCTGATTCAGCTTCATTGACTTCAAAGTTTCCAAAAGGCCTTGAGGAAGCATTCCATTTCCCCTCCCACACTGCTCACTCAAACACATGCTAGCCTCTGCTGCTTGAATTCTACATAGTTTCAGTCTGCTGCTGACGAGACCTCCAAGGCAAGGGACGCTTGCAGGAATAATCTTGCCTGTGTGAGGAATTAACTTGCTTGAGCCTGTAGCATCTTTAAGTAAGCAAAAACCTAAGATCGAATTGACCCGTAGGTGAATTTCGCTTCCTCTTCGAGATACTACATAATTAATCCATATCATTCAACCTATAAATGACCACTGTGAGCAAATGCTGAGCTGAGTGCCGTGGAAAAAAAAACCAGACATTCCCTGCCTTTGAGAAACTGAGTCTAGTGCTGGATAACTAAGATTTTTGGGAGAAAAGGTACCAGTACAAGGTATGAATTAATTCGATGCCTAGTGAGTTATAAAATCAGCAGGCAGCATAGAGACTTTTAGGCAATGTGGAGGATGTGCCCCCTGGCTAGGGCCTTCCAGGAGAGAATCAGTGCTGAAGACAAGACACAAGCTGAAGGAGAAATAAAGTGGAGAGTATGTAGAAAAAAGCTACTTTGAGTACAACTGTATGTTCCATCCTTGAAAGACATTGTTTGAGTAGGACAATCTAGAGGCATGCACTGTAATCTTTTCAGTGCTAAGCTGAGTCCCAAAACAGGACCACCTCATGTGGTTAAGCACTTAGTCACCTGCACTGCACACAAAAGCCTGACCAAGATGGGTCAGGGGCAAAGAGGGACTGAAATCTAGCCTCAGTTTTGCTGACTTCTGACGTTGGTGCTGGGTCGCTTCTGCCCAGAGCAAGGAGCACCTTATCTCTGCCAGGAGCACCTTTTGCGGAGTGGCTCTCTGTACACAAAGATGCTGTACAGGACAGCTCTGGCTCTCCCTCTAAGTCTTCATCTGATCCTGCATAAAATCCAGTAAATGTCTGAATAAATGTTGAGATGGATTATTGAAGTTCTATACCCAGTCTCTACTTAAAGAGGGCTTCTCAAGTAGATTTCTGCCTGAATCTGTTGAAGAAGAGAGATAATGTGTGTGTGTTTTGGGGGAAGAGAAAAAAGCCAGAGATGTGTTTTAAGGCCTCTTAACGATTCTAAAATTCTTTGAGTCCACAAATTAAACATGGTGTTAAGTTTAATAAAGTCCAATTATTATTTAAACCAAAACAGGGTTTTCCTAGTAATATTTCAAGGCCTTGGCCTTCCATGTACCTTTGCCACATAATGCAATTCTGTTATGGACTGAGCCCTTTTAATGTATGTAACTGTTTTAAGTACTTTGAGAAGAATTGAAGAAATAGAAGGTTGGACCTCTGTCCTCAGATATGTATCTACTAGGAAAAAAGAAATTCTTACCACAAAATTAAGAGCATCAACCATTTGGCCAGGCGCAGTGGCTCACGCCTGTAATCCCAGCACTTTGGGAGGCCAAGGTGGGCGGATCACCTGAGGTCAGGAGTTCGAGACCAGCCTGGCCAACATGGCAAAACCCCGTCTCTACTAAAAATACAAAAATTAGCCAGGCATGGTGGCGTGCGCCTGTAATCCCAGCTAAGGAGAATCACTTGAACCCGGGAGGCAGTGGTTGCAGTGAGCTGAGATCGTACCACTGCACTCCAACCTGGGCAACAAGAGTGAAACTCCATCTCAAAAAAAAAAAAAAAAGTAGCAACCATTTGTGGGAGTTATTAGTTAGATACCCTTGTCAGATATACTGGCCTTGATTCTGACACTACAATAGTACTCCTCGCCTAGGCTGCAATTTTCATATGCTGTGAAAAGTGGTTAGCAAAGCAACCAGACAGCTTAAGTTATCCATTGACATTTCCTGCCTGCATAGTCATATCCAGGTAAGAATACCAAATAGGTGGTAAATGAAAATGAAGATTAGCTAATCTCTCATAGCAATGCCATCTTAACGTGTCTTTCTTTACGCTCAGTCTCCGTGGAGTCCTCACATCCTTAGAAGTATCGTTTGTGTTTTACTGAGCTGACACACCAAAGAAGTTCTGATCCACAAAAAACATTTTGTATTTTTCCTTCAACATCCCTTCCTTTCCCACTTTCCCATTGGAAATGGTTTCCCCTGCTTCCCAAGAGATCTTCACCGGCCGACTGAGGGAGCCCACTTCTGCATCCCCCATGTTGGTTGTCCTCTGTTTGTTGGTTCTATGCACAAACCCTCTTGACTCACCTTCCCCTCTACTCCCCTCCACCTTCTCTTTTACCAAGGTCAGACCTAGTTTTTCCAAAGCCTATTGATCATGACTGTAGGTCAACAGTATCCTAGACCCCGTGGTTAGGACAAAGATGAGTAAGATTCCCACCCCACCCTGGAGCTCTCACACTGAAGAGTTAGTTATGGGGATAAATGGATGAGTAGGTGGTTGGGGGGATGGATGGAGAGAGAGAACACAAAGGCTTTGCAGACAGACATACTGAGTTTGAATCTCAAATAAGACAGATGCTAGCTCTCTGAACTTAGGCAAGATAGCAAGAGCCTCAGATTCCTCATCTATAAAATGGGGGTAGTAATTCCTACCTAGTCTGGGTGGTTGTAAAGATCAGAGACTGTAAATTGCTTAGGGAACTGCTTGGTTAAGCAACATGTAAGTGACATAAGAGAAGTGCAAACAAAAGGGGTGGGGGTTCCCAGAGGGAAGGCTCACACCTGCAGGAGGCCACACATGAGCGTGTGTGCGTGTGCACGTGTGCAGGGCCCTCCCAGCCTCCAGGTGATCTGACTTCCCCAGCACAGCCTATGCAGAGCAGCAGAGCTGGGCAGCACAGACTATGCAGAACAGAGCTGGGCAACGCAGACCTGGGAGCCAGCAAGTCCACACAGTCTGGCATTTACAAGTGAAACAGGTATGACCTGCAGCTACTGCTATTGGGGCACCAGGCAAGGGGTTAGAATGGAGATTGGGAAAGGGCCTAGCTGTCAAAGTTAACTGGCCTATCAGTGGGGAATGGAAATCATTCCACTCTCTAGAAAACCAGGTTACTTCATCGTTTTCCTTCCAGCTACCTCTCTCTGAATGTCTAAGGTGAAGCGTTTTCCTTTCTTCTTCAGCTCAGAGGCTGAGAATGGTGTGGAGGAGAAAAAGAAAGCCTGCAGGTCGCCAACAGCCCAATCCCCTACCCCATCTGTGGAGGCCGACTCCCCAGACCAGAAGAAAATCATTAGCCTACGGTGAGTCCTCCGTTGACTCTCTTTGTTCTCTTTCGTCTTTTGGGGAGAGGGCATTATGGGAGGAGCTGGGGTTTTTTGTTAGAGTGAGGATGTATTGATACTATAGACAAATAATACTCCTGAGAAAGAATGAGCATTTTTCCCCGATACCCAGGCAGCATCTTTTTCTCCCTCCTGCCCCAACCTTCAGCAGAGCATCTGCACCTTTCTGAAAGCGCTGATTTTGCTAAGTGATGAGGCCAGGGTGGCCCACTCTCAGGCATATGTTTAGAAAGCACCTGGGAAGGCTGGCCAGGTTGGAGTGTCTGCCCAGCCTCGGGTGTGCCCACCTGGTGTCTCATTTTCCTGGGGGCCATGAAAAAGCCAAGGAAAAGAATCCCCATCCCGGGGACCCCTCAGGCCACCAGTTTCCTGTGACAGACTAAAAGGGAGGGGCGGTTTGGTTGTGGGGCTGGAGGGGAGAGGTGGTTTTGAGATGTGTAGCTGTAGCTTCATCATTCTGAGAGGCACCAGCTACCGTTTGGTAGAGACTAAAGTTGCTTTGGGGCACTTAAAAGATAGCAGTTAAACCAAGAGTGTGTGATGGGTGAGTGCAGTTTATCTAAACTGAGTAGAGAAATGATTGTTGTCCTTCACCATTATTAGAACTTTTAGAACTGCTACCTTCTCCTTCTTTTGGTCTCTGCTGAAAGATTATTAACTCCACTTTTTGCTTCCTTCCTGGCTTACCAGCCCATGTCTTCTCTCCAAATCTATGCTTCATTCAGGACCAAGAGTAAGTCTTAACTCTTCCCCAAATTTTCCTCTTCTGACCCTAATTCCCAATTATCTCTTCATCTTTCCTGCATGCTGTTTTGTGGCATCTCGTTTTTTTTTTTTTTCCAGTCGGAGTCTCGCTCTGTCACCCAGGCTGGAGTGCAGTGGCACATTAGCTCACAGCAACCTCCGCCTCCCAGGTTCAAGCGATTCTCCTCCCTCAGCCACCCCAGTAGCTGGGACTATAGGCGTGCACCACCATGCCCACCTAATTTTTGTGCTTTTAATAGAGACAGGGTTTCACCATGTTGACCAGGCTGGTCTTGAACTCCTGACTTCAGGTGATCCACTGGCCTCGGCCTCCCAAAGTCCTGGGATTACAGGCGTGAGCCACTGCGCCTGGCCAGCATCTCAGTTTAACCATTTTTTTTCCTCTAGTTGTTTCCCCTCGAAGCCTCACCTAATGCTTCTCTTCACAAAGACACAAGGCACGTTATTTCTCATGTCTTTCACCACTGTTGGCTGATTACAGCAGGCACCTTAAAAACACTGTTGGTTTTACTCCAACTTCCCCAGGCTTCAGTAATAATAATACACTCTCACAGGGCATGCTTGCTACACTTCATGGGCATGTGGTCTGTGCAGCTGGAAAGGGCCCACACTTGGTTTAATGCTCCCCTCTTGCTATCCAGAAATGCTTAATAATTTCTATGTAAGGGGGCCGGGCGTGATGGCTCACACCTGTAATCCCAGCACTTTTGAGAGGCTGAGGCAGGTGGATAACTTGAGGTCAGGAATTCAAGACCAGCCTGGCTATCATGGTGAAACCCCGTCTCTACTAAAAATACAAAAATTAGCCAGGTGTGGTGGTGCATGCACTCGGGAGGCTGAAGCAGGAGAATTGCTTGAACCCAGGAAGTGGAAGCTGCAGTAAGCTGAGATTGTGCCACTCCAACCTCAGCAACAGTGTGAGACTTTGTCTCAAAAGATTAATTAATTAATTTTTATATAAGGGACCTCACATTTTCATTTTGCACTGGGCTTCTTGTCACCTGTAGGAAGTGAGAATAACAGGGTTGAAAAGACCCAAAGAAATCAGTATTATATACATACATACCCTGTCCATAGGGGTCAGTGTCATGCAGATGAACCCCCTTATTGCTTCTGCCGTTTGAAATTATCAAGGGTAGAGCCACCCTACTTGTCATATTTGCTTGCAGGCCATGGATCTTCAAACAGTCTGATCATTTCCTTGCCCATTCCATTAACATTTATTGATTTGAATCAGTAGAGATGATGAATTCAAATCTGTGAATAGTATAAATAAAAGGTAAGTTGACATTTGTACAGATAGTTTTATTTTCAAATAGAGAACAAATGTTTTTTCATAGCTTCCAAAAAAAAGTAATCCCTAGGATTCCCAGGGAATTTACATCTGTGAATAGCTTAAATGGCCTGTGTCTGAAATTAAGTTCATTTGCCTTGAACAGCTGAGGGGTATTTGACCTGTGATTTGAGCACTGTGGAATCATACATTGTAGTGGCTAGAAGAAGCCTAGGACTTCATATAGTCCATCTTTTCACAGCTGAGAAAACCAGAGCATAATTCTCTAACTTCAGTCCTTTCTGTTTATCTGTGACACCCAGGTACCACCTGAATTACTTCAGATTGTTCTTAAATCCACTTTGAACCAATTTTTTTTAACTGAACCTCATTTTAAGGAATAATATCGTGAAATCATGGATTTTATGTGCCATTTCCTCCCAGAAACATTAAAGCAACTTCACGATCGTAAAACTTATTCATATATATAACTCCAAAAATCATCCATGCATGCTACTTTGAAGCGACTGCTTTTAGCTGTAGGGTTGAAGACACGTACAAATGCACACATCTACTAAAATGGAAAACCAGGACTAGAATCGCCTTAGAAAGAAACTCCGGAGCTCTGACCTCTGTCCTTAAAAGGAAAAAGGAAGATTTGGCTTCATACATGTTTTTTGGTTTCATTTTTGTTTTATTCTGATTTCACTTGTATTGTATTTCCACTCCGGGATGTGTTGTGTCTTTTCCTCATACCTGATTCTTGCTTATCCTCTTAGGCCCGGCATTTCAAGCCCACATTATTCTCTTGTTTTCCTCTTCTCTTTATTTACTTTTTTAAATTTAACTTTTTTATCTTTTTGAGACAGAATCTTGCTCTCTCCCCGAGGCTAGAGTGCAGTGGCGCATATCAGCTCACCGCAACCTCTGCCTCCCGGGTTCAAGCGATTCTCCCGCCTCAGCCTCCCGAGTAGCTGGGACTACAGGCGCGCACCACCATGCCCAGATAATTTTTGTACTTTTGGTAGAGATGGGATTTCACTATGTTGGCCAGGCTGGTCTCAAATGCCTGACCTCAGGTGGTCTGCTCACCTTGGCCTTCCAAAGTGCTGTGATTACAGGCGTGAGCCACTGTGCCCAGCCTGTTTTCCTCTTCTCTCACCTCCTGTTAGACTTATTGGCTCCATACCTTCTCCTAACTGCTGTAATATTTTTTTTTGTTTTTGTTTTTGTTTTGGTGCTAAATCATGTACTGCCTTTTTTAAAAAGTGTTTGATGCATGCGTACACAGGCGCCTTAAGGACAAAGACTGTGTTATGGGCCCCAAGACATTTAACACAATGCCCTACTCAATTAATACTTGTTAAATATTAGTGGAATTCTGAAACAAAAATATTCTTTGATTGAACTATAGCCACAATACTATTTAGTAGTTTGCCTCAAGTACTCCTTTATAAATACTGATTAAAATACTTTTAAAATGACATAATTATTTTCACAACTTGATCGTTATTTCACCCTCTATAAGTTACTATTTCTACAGTTTTTGATTACAGCCTGCTGAAATCCTTCCAGTGTCCTAAAGCATGTGCTGTGTAAATGCTCTCAGAGTATCATGAATGATTTTTGATATCCAGAAAAGAAAAACAAATGTCAGGTTTTCTTAGATGACAGTATAATAATCAAGATTTATTACAATAAATTAATGAAAAATGTATCTCATAGGCCAGGTGTGGTGACTCATGCCTATAATCCCAGCACTTTGGGAGGCTGAGGTGGGTAGATCACTTAAGTCCAGGAGTTCAAGACCAGCCTGGCAACATGGTGAAACCCCATCTCTAGAAAAAAATGAGCTGGGCATGGTGGCACGCACCTGTAGTCCCAGCTACTCGGGAGGCTGAGGTGGGAGGATCGCTTGAGTCCTGGATGGGGAGGTTGCAGTGAGCTGTGATCATGCTGCTACACTTCAGCCTGGGCAACAGATGCAAAACTGTCTCAAAAAAAAAAAAAAAATTATCTTATAGACACCCTGGACCTTCTTTCTTTAGGTCAAAATCCAGTTTTGATGGTGCCTCTTTAGCAAGTGATAAGAACGACTGTAAAACAGAAAGCAAAAATGACCCTAAGACTGAAAGAAAAAAGTCTTCATCTTCCGGCCAGGTAATTTAAGAATGAAATTTGTATTGTCTTAGGGGGTGACAAGACTATTGAAGCCAGTGACAAGAAGGAACTCAAGTATGCACCTTCCTGCTGGTCAAGACTAAGATAGGCATAGAGTTTAGACAATTTAGAGGAACAAACAGGCAGTAGTTCCTCCAGTCCATTTTTTATCAATGTTATATTCCACAACTCACCTTTCAGCACATTGCATGGTGATGAGTTCCATGCTGTGGCCTCGAACTCTGACAAATACCCAGAGATTAGGGACCAACACAGAGTCATGTGCTTATCCAATAATTAACAAGACAAGGGGAGTTGTGACATCCTTGTACTGAAATTGAAGAGTCTGATAAGGCATCTACCTGAATAGTAGTAGGCCAGCCAACTGTACACAGAGGAGTAAGACCTTTGAACAAGGTCAGGATTATTCTCCAAACTAATTTTGGTTCTGCTCTAAAACACACCCAGATAGGAAACAAAACCCAGTTCTATGTCATCAGAGAGTGTGATGCATGTACTGGGGCCAGGAGTTTGGGTTTTTTTTAATTCTTCACCCCTCTAAATACTTGAATATGTGCCTCCTAAGAGCTAAACCAAAAACCATCGGCACACCCAAGAAATTTAAATATGAAATGTATTAAAATATTATTAATATAAAATCTACTTTTGAATTTCCATGGTAGTCCCGGTAATAAATATCCTTTATAAAGGTGTTTTTTTCCTCTCCAGGATCCAATCAAGAGTCACATACTGCATGTATTTGCTATGTCTTTTCTTTTTTTTTTTTTTTCCAAGACAGAGTCTTGCTCTGTTACCCAGGCTGGAGTGCAATGCCATGATCTCGGCTCACTGCAACCTCCACCTCCCGGATTCAAGTGATTCTCATGACTCAACCATCTGAGTAGCTGAGATTACAGATGTGCACCACCACACCCAGCTAATTTTTGTATTTTTAGTACAGACAGGGTGTTGCCGTGTTAGCCAGGCTCGACTCAAACTCCTGGCTTCAGGCGATCCACCCACCTCTGCATCCCGAAGTGCTGGGATTAGGAGCATGAGCCACTGCACTCAGCCTGCTATGTCCCTTTTAATTGAAATCAGCCCCACTACCTCTTTTGCCAATTTTTACATTGACATTTTTGAAGAGTTTATGGCCTAGCATATTTTAAGTCAAGCATGCAACCATTGCTCACTGTAGCCATTGAAAACAAAAGCTCAGTGAAGCCATACAACACCCAGCTTTAATCAAGGTATCTTTCTGCAAGGTGTTTATCTATAAAATAGCTGACTTGCAGGGACCATCTATCGTTTTGATGACCTGGTCTGTAGTTCTTTATGGTAAAACAGGGCCAGTTTTGCCATTGAGACCACTCTTGGTTTGGATAATAAGCCATCCAGGGCCTCCTACCCATTCTCTTTATAAGAATTTTTCTTCAGAAGTATCCTATGAGGCAGACTGATGCTGTGGAGAGAGGATCCAGTTATACCCCATAGCTCACTGCAGGCTTGAATTCCTGGGCTCAAGAGATCCTCCTGCCTCAGCCTCCCAAGTAGCTAGGACTACAGACACATGCCACCACATCCAGTTAACAGTTCTACCTCTTAATAGCTGTATGATGCAGATGAAAGTGTTTTACAGTCTGTAAATTGCTGGCTATCCATTGTTATTGTCACAGTTGTGAAAACAGATCCCTTGAAAATGAAGTGATTTGCAACTTTCATAGTCTTGCGCTTTCTGCTGCCCTGGAGAGTGAAGTCTTTGTATGAAATCCTACTTGTCTTGACAGTAGCCTACTGCATCCTACTCCTGTCACTGGCTAAGGAAATGCCTTCACAATAATACAGTAGGAAGAGTGGCCATATGTTGCCTTAGACTATAGGTCCTTTATGTGTAGTATCCCATTTAAGCCTTATGGCATACCTTGAGGCAGGTACTGTTTTTGCCCTCTGGTACAGAAAAGGAAACCAAGGCCCAGGGAGATAAAGGGACTAAGCCATGGTCACACACCAAGAGCTAGAGCCACTACAGCCAAGACTTCAACTCAGGTTTACCTGACTACAAAGCTTTGAACCACTGTACTCTTCTGAGAGTACTCGCTGGTACGTTTAGTACCTGGGATCCAGTACCCTCCCTAATGAGATTCCTTAAAATTTCATCCCCTTTCTGATTAGGGACATCCTTGTCTAGCCCTGTTTCCTCAGCAGTAGGCTGACCAGCAGCTGCATCATTATATCCAACCAGCAACGCATTAAACTTGTTAGAAAATGAAACTTGTGTGCCCTGACTTTCACTGTGTTTTACTGAAGGCTTGTGTCAGAGACGTAAGATCAGTGAGAAGGAATTCCTAAAGATACTATTAAGGGAGGGAAAATTTGTTGTTGAAGTTGAATTTGTGATGTTTCACAAGAAAGTGAGAGTGGTAATGCTTGTATTTTGTTCTCATTGTAGTACAAGGCCAATATGCACTTTCACAAGTTGTTTCTTAGTGTCCCAACGGAGGAACCACTGAAGCAAAGTAAGTTCTGCCCTGTTTGACTTTCTAAGCTACATATTTGAAAAGTTGATCATTAGTTTTGGGGAAGAAAGAGGGCATAGTCTATGGACTGAGTCACCAAGGGGATCAGGTTTCTGAAAGTCATAACATAACAATAACACCAGCTTCAATCAGCTTTCACCAGGCAGCGTGAAAAGATCACAGAGGAGAAAAAGAAACAGTTCTCCACGGGGTATGGAGTCACCCAAGATGGTTCCATGATACCCTTCCCTTCTTTATTTATTGCTGAAATGCACATGCTTACATTGCTTTAAGATTTAGGATAACAAGCCTGGGGCAAGAGAGGCCACTAGAAGAAGACTAAAAGAAAACTCACATCCTTAGACATGGACAGACACGTGCTGATGCCACTATGAAGGGTGTGATGGTCACCTAAATATCTTGCCCAGCATGCTAGTTAAGCACGCCTACTGGGCTCTGCAGTGATTCATCAAGGGGCCCAAAGTTCCATTCTAGCCTTTCTTGATGTGCAAAAGTTGAGGCAAGATGCTGGGTTCCTGCCATGACCTTCAGACAGAAAGTGTGGGTTATGTGCTCTTCCTCTAGTGAGGCCATCTATTTCGAAAACAGTCATTAGTGAAAATACTGGGGAAAAGGGGAACAGGTGTACTAATACCAGCACATGATAGAGGAGACTTGTAAAACACCATTCTTCGTCTCTCAGGTACAATAGTAGATTTGCCTTTTCATTCTGATATTTAAACTGAAGTTGGTAAGACTTTGAATTTAAAAACAAACTGGTCGCCACAGCTTTCTTTCCATAAAGAAGACAGAAGAAGAGGCAATAAAACTTTTGAGTATGAATGTATTCTCTGCCCATCCTTGAGTCACCAAAATATATACATGGTTTTTATTTTAAACGGAAATTCTAAATGATGCTGTACCTGTGTGTATTCTCCCAGGCTTTACCTGTGCTCTACAGAAAGAAATACTATACCAAGGAAAGCTCTTTGTATCAGAAAACTGGATTTGTTTTCATTCCAAGGTCTTTGGAAAAGACACAAAGGTTGGTATAATTAAAAGATAAATTAAAAAAAGCTAACCCTATACTTTATTGTATATGGCAAATATTAATTGTCTTAAATTTAGCTATATTTATAGATACTTATATTACGGTTAATCTTTTATGCCAAGTTTCCTTTGTTATAATTCCAAATACTATAGGTTCTAAATGCCTCCAGATGACACTAACTTCCCTTTTTCCCTAACCATTATTTTCTCACTCATTTCTTTACATACATATACCTCACATATACACATGTACCTCACCCATAGCCATACCCTAAATCCTTTTTACTCAGATGTCACCAGCGAACACTCAAAGTTGTTTATTTGGAGGGTGTGCCATGATTTTCAAACACATACATTTAAACCAAAATCATTTCTTTTAAGAAACATCAATTTTTATACCATATTTATACCAGTTATCAGTGATGTCTAGGACAGCAGGCCAATAAATAAGCTACTTATTAGCACTCCCTTTGTACCCTCACCAGCACAAAATGAGCAGGAAGTGGAGCAGTTAAGGCCTAGCCTGGGGAAGTCAGACACCCTCGATCCCAAGTGTACTCTGATACTACATCTTTTCATTATTATTAAACACAGATTTGGGGGAGTAGAGACACATGACATCCTGAGACATTAAGGAGAACAGCCTAAAGGAATTGGCACTGCCCTCTAAACTGGGGACTGTGGGACCGTGGCCTATCAAGGAAAAGATAATTCTATCCCACTGACTTTTTTTTACCTTTGAGCTACAATGTCACATCACAGTTCATTCAGGCCTCCAGAATAACACCAGAGAAACACTTCTTGGGTTTGCATGACCTCAGTGAGTTTTCAATCATTCTGATTCATGAGTGTGAAGAAGCAACTCTCATAGTCATGAAGTAGCTGATGAAAACTTTTTGTTTTGAGTGGTAGATGTGCCTTATTTAAATATTCTTTCTAAAACCACTGGCAATTGCATAAAGACCACTTAACAAATCTAATAGGAATATTTTCTTTTGTTGGTGTTGGAGCTAGAGACTAGCATACTATTCTTTAGGTAAAACATATTCTTTTTATATTGATTTTTTATCATATAGAGCTATGTTTAGATAAGCATTATTTGATTGACAGTATTATCTGAATCAGTATAATACAAATCAATATGAAGCAGTATTTCATCTATTTCTACATTTCTGGATTAAAGGTCTTGTTCATGGAATGGGGAAGGGGATTGGGTAGTACTGATCAATGTGATATAGTTCTCAGGAATTCATATAGAGCCAACATGTCTGAGCAGAGCAGCAGGGACTGAAGACACTAATGAACAAAGCATTAGTCTTTGTTAAGCGACTGGGGGATCCACAAAGGCAGTCAGTGCAGTTTCAAGCTGATATGATTCTAGCAATGATTTTAAAGTTCTACTTCTACCTAAGAACTGATAAAAAGAAGTTAGAAGAAGTGACCCTGGTTTTTTGAAGACATGGATATACTAAGATTGCTTTTGCAGTGTGTAACCTACAGAGGCAGGAGACTGAAAATTAGCAGGGCGTGGGAATAAGAACCATGATAGTGACTTGTATGTTCCATCCCTTCTAAGGATGGTGTCAGAGGAGATTTGGGCTTCAGAGATGTTGCAGAATTTCCTCACTGCCAGTGGACCTGAGTCCAGCGTGATCCAGTATGAGCTGAAGGCACCCAAACAATTGCTCTACCGTGGGAACTTTCTAATCAAGTTCCCCTTCTAAAGCAGTTTACCCTGGAAAAATGTTACCATTACCCTGGAAAAATATTATCATTTACCCTGGAGAAGTATTAATAAAGTGTAGCCTTAATTTAATCAGGACCTTTTTAGTCAGCCTGTTGGTATTTTCTGATGCTAGTAAAATTAGCATGCATGTATCACATTCTGTCTAGGCTCAAACTGAAAAGTGATTTAAGCTTTATTTTACAAATGTTATCTGGTTGTAATTTTATACTCATGAAGCAATTGATTGAAAACTTTCTTAAGGGTGTTCCATGCCTTAGATTATGAAAAATCTAAATTTATAGCCCTTTGCCACTGTGTGTTTGTATTACTGCTCAGAAACAAAATTAGACTCATTTTTTTTTAAATCATGATCTAAGTAGATCTCAAATTCTTTTTTTCCAAATTTATCCCAACTTGTAAGTTCTGAATTGCCTCCTGCCTTTGAAAAATATTGTGAGTGGAGTTCTTTGGCAAACAGTTTTTAGAAAATGTCTCAATTGGATTATCCCTTGTTCTTCATAGTCTTCCTGCCTAGATCATTGAGGGCAATAAATAAGCCCATCTCATAAACCCAGATGTGAATGCAAATATTCAAAATTAAAAGCTCATTTTGCGGTCAGGCACGGTGGCTCACACCTGTGATCCCAGCACTTTGGGAGGCTGATGCGGGTGGATCGCCTCAGGTTGGGAGTTCAAGACCAGCCTGGCCAACATGGAGAAATCCCGTCTCTACTAAAAATACAACATTAGCTGGGTGTGGCTGGGCGTGGTGGTTCACACCTGTAATCTCAGCACATTGGGAGGCTGAGGTGGGCAGATCACCTGAGGTCAGTAGTTTGAGACCAGCCTGACCAACACAGAGAAACCCCGTCTCTACTAAAAATACAAAATTAGCCAGGCATGGTGGCACATGCCTGTTATCCTAGCTACTCGGGAGGCTGAGGCAGGAGAATCCTTTGAACCCGGGAGGTTGAGGTTGCGGTGAGCCGCGATCGCACCACTGCACTCCAGCCTGGGCAACAAGAACGAAACTCCATCTCAAAAAAAAAAAAAATTAGCTGGGTGTGGTGGCACATGCCTGTAATCCCAGCTTCTCAGGAGGCTGAGGCAGGAGAATCACTTGAACCTGGGAGTAGGAGGTTGCCGTGAGCTGAGATCGCACCACTGCACTCTAGCCTGGGCAACAAGAGCAAAACTCCGTCTTAAAAAAAAAAAAAAAAAAAAACTCATTGTGCTTGCTTCCTTCAAGCTGGCAGTACTTACATAAAGCCCATCTCTTCTCCACTTTTGAGAATATGTGAGGCATTTTCAAGAAGTAGATGTTCTGTTTTCAGGGATTAAAGTAATGGCGATCCATTTTCCTTTGAGATCAAATTTGGTTGGAGAGGTATAACATAAATTATCATAAACTTCTGTTCTTTGTGCCATTTGATACATTCTTATAGCACATTGTATTGAAAAGAACTCACATTTTGAATCAGACTGGCTTGAGTTCCATCTTTGTAACTTCTTATGTATGATATGCAGCTCTCTAAATAAATTTCTTTATTTCTTATAATATTGACTGTGTAGGATCATCATAATTAAATTCTATCTGGTAAACAGGTATCAATTATTGTAGCTTCTATAGTTACTGTTGTTGTTATTCTTTGTTGAACCAGAAAAGTATTTAAAGTTCTTTTATTTCACCCATGCTGATTTCATAAACAAGTGAGGAGGTAAATGAAATTTTTGTTCATCACTGGGCATTTTGCATGTATTATCTTACTTAATCCACAGAAAATCCTGAGAAGTAGATGAGACTATCTCCAATTTATAAATCAAGAAACTGAGGCCTAGAACAGATGGCTTACAAGGGGAAGTAGGTCATGTAGATACAGGTTGAGTATCCCCTATCCAAAATGCTTGGGACCAGAAGTGTTTTGGACTTCAGATTTTGCAATGTCTGCCAATATATAACTGGCTGAGCATTCCTAATCCAAAAATCCAAAATCTGAAATGCTCCAGTGAGCATTTCCTTTGACCATCAATATCAGCATTCAAAAACTTTTGGATTTTGGAATAGTTTGGATTTCTGATTTTCAGAGTAAGGATGCTCAACCTGTAGTAACAGAACTAAGCCAAGGCGGGTGGATCAGAATGTCAGGAGTTCCAGACCATCCTGCCTAACACGGTGAAACCCCGTCTCTACCAAAAATACAAAAATAGCCGGAGCATGGTAGCGGGCACCTATAGTCCCAGCTACTTGAGAGGCTGAGGCAGGAGAATGGCGTAAACCTGGGAGACGGAGCTTGCAGGTAGCTGAGATCACGTCACTGAACTCCAGCCTGGGCGACAGAGCGAGATTCTGTCTCAAAAAAAAAAAAAAAAACTGAGCCAAGAATTCAGGTCCCAGGTTTTCTCTTCAGTGATGGTCCTATTATACCAGTGCTTTTTAACATTTTCCCCCCAACATGCACCTAAAGACAGAGGAGAGTGGGGCATGTGGAAGTTAGCCCAAAGTGGATGACCAGAAGCTTGAAATTTCTTTAGAGCCTTGGGCTTATTAAAATGAATATACATTTTGCGTTCTATTTTCATGTCTGAAGATAAAGGTTTCCCACCAAGATCTTCAGTCCAGTCGATGGTTCAGATTTATCCTCTGGCTCAGTAAGCACCATTTTGAGGAGCTCAGTGACACATCCCTGCCACTCTGTAAGATTGACTTTTCTTCATGGAGGCTGGGGAGCTTGCTGCTGGTTTTGATTTCTGTTTACTTTTTTTTTTCCCCCTTTAATGTGAAGATTCGAAGTGCTGTTCTGTCAAGTCTGAACTGGCATTAACTTGCCGATTCTGTTTCAGATCTCTATTCCAGCTTTCTCAGTAACCCTAATAAAGAAAACCAAAACTGCTCTTCTAGTGCCAAACGCCCTGATCATAGCAACGGTCACAGACAGGGTGAGTATGCAGCGGAGCGAGGGCACCTTCGCTCTGTCCTCCTGCTCTGGGCTCTGCTGCCTGAGGGCCCTCTTGCCAAGGACCAAGACTCCAAACCATAAATATCATCATCTCCTTTGGTGAATCAGGAAAATTCTATAAGACTAATTTTAAAAATTATAGCCTGTAGACATTCATGTAGTGCTGTTTCCCTTCACAAGGTGATTTATTCTCATAGAAGTGTTGCCAATTTTGAATTTCCTGCTGACTTAATTATACTTGCCAGACCAAGGTCAAAAAAATAAAATTCTGTCTCAACTTCAGCTAGGTCAGGCTAACATCTGCCAGATCAGGCTAAATTGATATATTCAGTTCCTTTAATAGTCTTAAAGAAGAAAAAAATTTAAAAAAAAAAAAAAAAGGGAGGCCAGGCCTTTAATCCCAGCACTTTGGGAGGCTAAGGGCTGAGGTGGGAGAATTGCTTGAGCCCAGGAGTTGGGGACCAGCCTGGGCAACATGGTGAAACCCCATCTCTACAAAAAATATAAAAATTAGCCAGGTGTGGTGGTGTGTGCCTGTGATCCCAGCTACTTGGGAGGCTGAGGTAGGAGGATCACTTGAGCCCAGGAGGTAAAGGCTGCAGTGAGCCATGATTGTGCCACTGCACTCCAGCCTGGGCAACAGAGCGAGACGCTGTCTCCAAGAAAAAGAAAAAGAACAAGACCAGGCATGGTGGCTCACACCTGTAATCCTAGCACTTTGGGAGGCCCAAACGGGTGGATCGCTTGAGTCCAGGAGTTCAAGACCAGCCTGGGCAACATGGCGAAACCCTCTGTCTTCAAAAAAATACAAAAATTAGCTGGGTGTGGTGGCACACACCTGTGATCTCAGCTACTGGGGAGGCTGAGGTGGGAGGATTGTTTGAGCCTAGGAGACAAAGGTTTCAGTGAGCTGAGATTGAGCACCACTGCACTCCAGCCTGGGTGATAGAGCGAGCCTGTCTCAAAACAGTAATAAATATATATAAAGAACAACAACAAAACACCACCTTACTGACAGGGTGAGGCAAGCAGGTTGATAGTGAGGAGTTCCTGGTGTGGGGGTGGCCAGCCTCCCCATAACCTCAGTCAATACCTCCCTAGAGCCATTCCAGATAAATAAAACTTGCACCTGCTCTGCAACTACAGGTGCAGGATCAGTTTTTAGACCTGCTTTACTAACAGGTTGCCTGAACTACCTTCTATATAGAAATTCCAGAGCTGAATTGACTATTGTACTACCCCAGACATGTGCAATCAGAAACATTTACATTAAAGTGGTGTTTATTTCAGCTTGGCAAGAAAGAGGGAGTGGAGTGGTTACTTTTCACGTGAAATTTTTTTAATCTGTTACCTATTATTTCCATGAAAGCATAAAATCTACATTCTATAGATTTCATTTCTCCTTTTTCCTTTCTTCTTTTTTCTTTTTTTAATAGAGATGGGGTCTTGCTATGTTGCCAAGGGCTGGTCTCAAATTCCTGGGCTCCAGTGATCCCCCGCCTCAGCCTCCCAGAGTGTTGGGATTACAGGCATGAACCAACGTGACTGGCTATAGATTTCCTTTCTAACCATACTAGAAAACTTGTAGAGAGAAGAAGAAAGAAGGAAAGATAAAAGAGACCATTCTGATAAGCTAGAAGATATGTTAATATCTATTTGGGGATCTTTTAAAAATACTAATAGCCAGCACTCATCAGTATTTCCTCCTTGTCAGGCCATACACTAATGCTTTTCTTATATTTTCTTGCTACCACCCTGTAATGGATAACTGTTATTAAGAAAACTGAAAGTTAGAGGGGTTAAGCAGTTTTCCCAATGTCACCCACTTAGTAAGTGTCAGAGCCAGAATTTGCAACTGGATCTGCCTGATGCCAGAACCCACAATATTAATTACTTTGGAATATAGTACTTGCTTGGAAATAATTCAAGTTCCCTCATTGGTAAATGAGAAGGATAATCGCAAACTCACGGAAAGGAGGTCTGAAAACATTCTATGACATAAATAGATGGGGAAAAAAGTAGATTTTTATATTTTCTGAACATATTGTTTATGGTAAAATCATTTTTCCTCATGTCATTTGTCTTCACATGATTCGTCTAGCTTTGATTTTACTTCTTTCCCATGGCTCACTTATAAGTCTCCACTCGAAAATCTCCATATTTGTACAAGGAAGAATCTGGAAGTGGCATGAAAGAGAGCTAGCCTATTAGAGCCACTGGGAAGTTTTCAGTGGAAATCTAGGTCAGAGCAGAGAAGGCGGACCCTCGGGAATTGTTAAATACCCTTAACAACAAAAACAGAGGGAGAGAGATTTTAAAGGGGATCTAGTGAATGTCACTAGCCTTTTTTTAATGTCCAGGCCTTTTCTTCTCTGGGCTTGTTTGTGGCACCAATGACAGGCTTTTGGAGCCTTCATTTTGCCCTACATGTATTTATTACTCTTCAATTGGGTTTGAAAATTTTGTTGTTTTTATAGGAGAATGTTTGCTTTATTCCAGAAATGGAATAAAAATGGAATATTTGGGTGAGAGGAATGAGAATGTAGATCAAAGAGAGGTCCATGTTGTTTGAAAGTGAAAAAGCTGTATACAGATACTTTTCTGAACTCTCAACTCTCACTTCTCATCAGGTAATATCTATTCATAATTATCCTGTTTTGTTTTTCAGTACATATTTGTCTCCTTACTCTCCAGAGATTCAACTTACAAACTACTAAAATCTGTGTGTGGACACTTAGAAGTGAGTATGATGTCCCTGAGCCTCAATTACTATCTCTCTTCTGTATTTCTTATGGTTTCATTGTTAATCTGGTTTTTCGCTTTGTTCCAATAATTTCAGAATACAAGTGTTGGTAACAGTCCCAATCCATCTTCTGCTGAAAACAGTTTCCGAGCAGACCGCCCGTCATCTCTGCCTCTGGTAAGTTGCCTACATAACTATCTAAATGCAAAAGAAAGGGAATATGTCCCACAGTTACACTTGTGCTTACACCATGACCAGGGTGTGGGAAGAGCTTAGGACCAAAATATTTGAGGTACAGTTGAAGAAACAGGGCATATCTGTCTTGAAGAAGAGGAAACCACAGTAGCCATAAACTTTTTCCAAGTAATTGAAGAGTTGTCCTGCAAAAAGAAAGAAACACCTACTAGACTGTCTTGGTGAGTTACTGGTCAGTGAAGGCATTCATAAAGTCTTTCTCTGTTTGTCTGTCAATATTGGTTTAGAGGGATTCACACATCTATTTGAGGTAGGACTGAGTCATCCCACAAATCCTTAAATGTCTTCTGTGTTCAAGGCACCATGCTAGTGCACACTGTAGGAAACCAGGAAAAATTAAAACTAAGTCATGCCTTCAGAGACTTCACAACTTAGAAGAGAAGACAAACATGCTCAGAATTAACTGTTAAAAAAAAAAAGAAAGAAAAGAAAAGAAAGCTATAAAGCCCAAGTTACAGGTAAAGATTGATTCATTCCCTTAGACTTTGTAAACTGTAGAGTAAGTCTCCAGTGGGAAGTAGCTCCCTCTGTTTGTGTAAGTTTTGTACCCATAATGGTTATAATGTTTTCTCAAGAGAGTTCCAACCATATCATTCAAATGATTAGAAATATTCAACATTAATGAAGCAATATGAGCCCATGGTTTCAACATCTCCCACAAATCTTTTTTTGAGAACAGTTTAAAAGTAATGGGACTGAAAGCGTATTCACACAAACACTTGTACAAGAATGTTAATAGCATTATTTGTAATAGCTGAAAGGTGGGGAAAAGCCTAATGTCCATCAACTGATTAATAAATTTTTTAAATACCCATATAATGGGATATTATTCAACCATAAAAAGGAAATTAAGGGCCGGGCGTGGTAGCTCACGCCTGTAATCCCAGCACTTTGGGAGGCTGAAGTGGGATCATGAAGTCAGGAGTTCGAGACCAGCCTGGCCAACATAGTGAAACCCTGTCTCTACTAAAAAATACAAAAAATTAGCTGGGCCTAGTGGCGGGTGCCCATAATCCCAGCTACTCAGGAGACTGAGGCAGGATAATTGCTTGAACCTGGAAGGCAGAGGTTGCAGTGGGCTAAGATCGCCCCATTGCACTCCAGCCTGCAGGATGGTGCAATGAGACTCCATCTAAAAAAAAAAGGAGGGAAATGAAGTACTGATACCAGCTACAATATAGCAACATGGATAGACCTTGAAAGCAGCATGCTAAGTGAAAGAAGCCAGACTCAAAAGGCCACATATGATTACCTTTATAGGAAATATCTTGAACAGGCAAATCCATAGGGACAGAAAGTAAACTAGTGGTTGCCAGAGAATGGGGTGAGGGAGAAATTGAAAGTGACTGCTAATGGGTATGGGCTTTCTTTGGGGGGTGATGGAAATATTTCAGAACAAGATTGTAGCCATGGTTGTACAACATTGTGAATATTCTAAACTCCACTAAATTGTATACTTTTAAATGGTGGATTTTATGTTACCTGAATTTTATCTCAATTTCTTAAAAATCTACCTTGAAAAACAGTAGTGGGAAGCAGCACAAAATATAATGTAACACATATGATTTGGAATCCAAGAAACCTGGTTTTAAATCTGGGCTCCACCCAGCTATGTTATATCATCAGGCAAGCTCTGTAACTGCTTTGACTCAGTTTCTTCATCCATTAAAATGCCAGCTTCATGATGTGGCTGTGAAGATTAAATGCAATCATGTATGTAAGGAGCTTTGCATACTGCCTGATACAAGATAGGCATTCAAGAAATCATTAAATTGAAGAAATTTTCAATCTTCCTTCTCCTATAAATCCTTGTATGAAATCGAAATGAGTGTTGAGATGAACAAAAGACAGCTAGTTCAAGGTGAAAGGTTGGTAATTTGCTTACAAGATGAGTCTCTTCTTAATTTGGCAGCTGACTAAATTGTTAAAAGCTCAGCCTAATTGTACCTTTGCCAGGACATTTTAATGACACCATTTGTCTCTTCCGTTCTTAAGCACTTTGGGGAACCAATAGAATACAAAGTAGAATGCCTGTGCTTTTTCCCTTACTCCTCCATCATCTTTCTAAAATGTAAATGTACTAGCACTAACCCTGTTTTGATTTAGTTGAGGGAATAAAAAAAGCTTAAACTTTACTTTCAGGGCCTAATTTGCTAAAGCCATTTTTCCTTTTCTGTTTCCAATACTTTTTTAAAATAAAAAAAAAACTATAATTTAGTAGTATCTTTCTCTCTGTCTACATATTTGAACTTGGATTTAAAGCTTTCTATTTTTTTCTCTTATATATGTGTATAGTAATCAGGTTTTCTCATTACAAAGTGCTAATGAAACCTCTTCAGCTTCACACTGGAAGCTTCTCAATTATTGGCATTCTGGGTGTTTTTCCAGACATTTGTTGTTTTAAACAAGTTGGCCACTGTTTGTTGACAGAATTTTAACTGCCTGAAAAATCTGTTTCAGTAACCAGATACTCGGTGATCTGTTGGGAAAATCCCAGTCATATGGGGTAATCCTTCCTTCTATTCTATGTTTTATAGGTCAGGCCTAGGTGAAAGGGCTGGGAGGTACAAAGGCCTGCCTGTTTACTAAGGGAAAATCAGCCTGTCTTCATTTCACTGTTTCCTTTCAGGATTTCAATGATGAATTCTCAGATCTGGATGGAGTGGTTCAACAAAGAAGGCAAGACATGGAAGGATACAGCAGTTCTGGTTCTCAAACTCCTGAATCTGAGAACTCTCGAGGTTTGGGAAATTGTTGTATTTTGACTAAAATTTAATTCCCCGCAAAACATCCTCACCCAACCCCCTTAAAAAAAAAAAAAAAAGGACGGAAGGAAGGAAAGGAAAGGAAGGAAAAAAAAGCCACATTGTCTTCCTAGCTAAAAATCAGGAATGGAATCTGGAGAAAGGATGCCTTGAGAGTTTGAGGGAAAAGAATTGCCTATGTGGTAAAAATTCGTTTCCTTTTATGCATATTTAACAGAGGTCTCTTAAATAGACCTAATATTGGGGTAGTTGAGAGAGAAAAACATAATATTTTCTTCCCTCTTTTGTTTTTGTTTGTTTGTTTGTTTGAGACGGAGTCTCTCTCTGTTGCCTAGGCCTAAGTGCAATGGCGCGATCTTGGCTCCTGCAACCTCCACCTCCCAGGTTCAACCGATTCTCCTGTCTCAGCCTCCCGAGTAGCTGGGATTACAGACATGTGCCACCAAGCCCGGCTAATTTTTGTATGTTTATAGTAGAGACGGGATTTCACCATGTTTATCAGGCTGGTCTCAAACTCCTGACCTCGTGGTCCACCCACCTCGGCCTCCCAAAGTGCTGGGATTACAAGTGTGAGCCACCGCGCCTGGCCTATTTTCTTCCCTCTTATTTCAATAATATTTTTAATTGTTATAGCCAAATTATCTATGTGAGTTAGTTGGAAAATGAAAGACTATCCTTATATCACTTTATTACTTATTTGCTTAAGCATTCAGTTTCAGCCCCCAGCCACCACAACTAACTTGTGAGACGATCCATTCATGTTCTTGACCATCATGCATGTTAAGGGATTGATTTACTTGGTGATTAATCCTGTTTTAAATACATTGGAGAGAAAACTTACCCAGCTCCGTTTTGGCTTAGTAGATTTCCATGTGACAGAATCCCAAACAGTTCTGAATGTCTCCAAGGGAGAAGCAAAGCCAACTCGGGCAGATGCCCATGTGAACAGAGTACCTGAAGGAAAAGCCAAGAGTCTCCCTGCACAGGGTAAGGAATGGAGGTCTTGTGAGGGGGTTTTTTAGAAGGGTTGGAGACGTCTGGTTGTAACTTTTTTTCTTTATTAGACAGCGTCTTGCTCTGTCACCGAGGCTGCTGTAGTGCAATGACACGATCTCGGCTGACTGCAACCTCTGACTCTTGGGTTCAAGTGATTCTCATGCCTCAGCCTCCTGAGCCGGCTAATGCCCCGCTAATTTTTGTATTTTTAGTAGAGACAGGGTTTCACCGTGTTGGTCAGGCTAGTCTCGAACTCCTGACATTGTGATCCACCCTCCTTGGCCTCCCAAAATGCTGGGATTACAGGCGTGAGCCACCACGCCTGGCCTATTTGTAACTTTTAAAGAGTCCCCATGTTTCACCTTATGACTGCTCTTCATGTTCCCTTTCCTCCTTTTGTATTATAGGTCTTTGCATATTAATTCACTTATTCATTTAGCAACCAGTACCCAGTTCCATGATTACAGTGGCGGATACAAAAGTGAATAGCCTTCATGGAGGTCACTTCATGATTCTGAATACATGAGATTATGTTTCAAAAATTTCTGTTACTGTAACCCCAGCACTTTGGGAGGCTGAGGTGGGAGGATTGCTTGGGTCCAAGGTGTTCAAGACCAGCCTGGGCAACATAGTGAGACCCTATCTCTACAAAAAATATAAAAATCAGTTGGGTGTGGTACATGTTTGTAGTTCTAGCTACTTGGGAGGCTGAGGCAGGAGGATTGCTTGAGGCCAGGAGGTCAAGGCTGCAATGACCTGTGATCACGCCACTGTCACCTGGGCAACAGAGACTGTCTCAAAAAAACAAAAAATTTTCCAGTAAAACTCAAATTTCTTATTTACTTTTTATTCTAATAACTAGCTATACTGGTAAGAGAGCAAGGATATTGTTATATTGTTCACCATTGATTCCAGCACAATGCTTGACACAAAGAAGGCTGTGGATAGGTGTGTAAATCAATGAATTTTGTTGGAAGGAATTGTAACTACTGGTTAAAATGACAACTGGGAGGCTTCAGTGGATATTTTCTCCGATTTCTTTTACCTGGGAATAATTACCTCTCTCAAGTACCCTATAGGGATATTGCTGGATAAAAGAAGTGTGTTATGGTTTTAAACAGTTGTTTTTTGTTTTCCACCCAACAGGTCTGTCAGAAACTGTTGGAATCTTACATAAAGTCAAGTCTCAGAAATGTCCAATGCTTCACCATATTCTTATATTCTATGCAATTGTGTAAGTACATGAATTTACTGTGACTAAGAAAATGATTTCATTCGCTAAAGGAGTAATCTCTTCACATTGCCGAGACCTACTGTAAATCTCAATTGTCTGAAATGTGACCCACATCTTTACTTTGACAATTTGTCTCCTACTTCAGCTTTTTTTCCTTAGGCTTAGGTCACATTTTCGTGGTTGTGCCAAACCCTGCAGAGGACTAAGTTCTGAGTGGGTGCCATTAGTTGGGAAATTGCTCTGTAAATTATGAAACATATTTACCCTTGTTATTGTTTTTATTTTTTTGACATATAATCATTGTACATATTTATGGAGTACATAGTGATGTTTTGATACATATAATGTATACTCATCAGATCCGGGTAATTAGCATATCCATCACCCTTATCATCTCTTTGTGTTGAGAACATTCAATATCCTCTTTTAGCTATTTGAAACTCTATCATTGTTAACTTTAGTCATTCTACAGTGGTATTCAACACTAGAACCTATTCCTTCTATCTAGCTGTAATTTTGTTTTGCCATCTGTCCCATCTCCCCTGAACAGGGGCCAACACAACTTGAAAATTTTATCCTCATCCCCTTTACCAAAAATGTAGGCATCGACTTTTTTAACTTCCAGTGTGTAACCGATTGTTCTTCTGAAAATAGCCTGACCCAGTTCTAGGCTGTTCCTCCCAACCAAGGAAAATATGCCCAGTCTAGTTTCCAGATAAAGGAGGGAGTCACCAGAGACCACCACTGGGTACTGTCTGCCCAGGCTCTTCCAGCAGAGGGCGGTAGTACCACAGGGAGGAGGAATGCTGGCTCGGTACTCCAACTTGGGTCTGGCTCTGACCAATGCTATTAGAAGGGTCATTATTTGCAAATTGAGGGACTCGGGCTAGAGGATTTTAAGTCTCTTCTAGCTGTAATTTTTATAACAAGCATCAGCCTGTTTAGAAAGGATGTTTTTAAAATCTCTTTACCAAGTTATTTTGGAAAATGCCTTGCCTCAAGTGTATCACATTGGCACTGAGTTGTTTTATGAACATCAGATCCTGGCCATTAACCTAATGAAAGTTTCTCTTTCATCCCTTTCCAGTGTCTGTGCACTAATCATCTCGACCTTCTATATGAGATACAGAATTAATACTCTGGAGGAGCAGCTGGGGTTACTAACCTCCATTGTGGACACCCATAATACTGAGTAAGCTAATTGCCTCTAGTGCTGTCATCTGCTTGCCTTTCTGCTTAATGTAATAATTGACCAGAACTTAGCATCCTTCTTAGTAAACATTAATTGGAGATACAGTCTGTATGAGATATTTTGTTAAGTGTATATGTGGAAAGTAAAAAGGTAGGAGGGTCTAGAAATGGATGACCTAACTCTGTACTATTTTGGAGTTGTTGTAATGTTGCTAGTAAGAAGGCAAGAAACAAGCCTCATTTTATATTATCTTGCTCTAATATGCTAAGATGCAGTTGTGACCTTGCCCCATTTCTTAAACTATGCAAGTTTACCTTAGTAAAATGGCAGTTAACCAAGACACTCAGAGAAAGAAGCAATTCAAGAAACTCGGCACATTTGATCATGTATAACTTTTTATATTAACTCACTTATTTACAAAACTCTTGACCACTGTCAAGATCAATGTGACTAGTAATTAGTTGAATGTGTCTGTGAAGATTTTCCATCAGTCTTTTTTTTAACATGCCTGGCCTAATTAAACCTTTTCAGACATAGAGCTCTTTTCTTTAAACCTGTTTACATGAAGATTTTGACACGTTACCTAAAAAGTGAAATAATTTATGCTATGTTAGAAAGTGTACATTTAGCCCAAGTTTTTGAAGTAATGATATTTCCTGGCAGAGTGTCCACCACATGCTAAAGACTCTATTAGAATGAATACATACACATACAAATACAAATGATTTTTCCTCATTACATTTTCACCACAACTTTAGAATAGAGCTGTTATTCCCATTTTACAGATGAAGAAACTGAGACTCAGAGTAATAATTAGTTTAATGTCTTACGGTTTGCAGAATCAGCTGCAGGTGTATATAACTACAAAAACCATGGGCTCTTCAGTCTACCAGTGGCTCTCAAACTTTAATTTGCATCAGAATTATCTAGAATCGTTTAAACAGATTTCAGGGCTCATCTCCAGAGTGCCTGATATAGTAGGTCTGGCATGAGGCCTGAGAATTTGCATTTCCAGCAAGTTCCCAGGTGGTGCTGATGGCAATGGTCTGAGCTCTGTACTTTGAGAAATACTGTGTTATACCATTCTAGGACCTTTCTTTACTCTGTAGGAATTACCTTTAGGTGGCTTACATGTATGCAGCTATACAGATTATTTTTGAACCATAAATATACACTTGAACTAATAAAATACAAAAGCCTAATAAACAGTTTGGTATGGATTCATACTCTGCCCTTACTTTCTCCCATCTTGTTCAAAAAGTTAATGTACATAAAGACAAGAAGTGACTCCAGGCCAGGCACAGTGGCTCATGCCTGATTATAAGACAAGGACAATTATAGCTGTATGATAAATCTCAAAGAAGGAACTACAAAAGTCTCACATTTCAAGGGACATTTGATTAACTAGATAAAGACATTCCTAAACTTTTAAAGTTCTAGTATAAACAGCTGAAAAGTGCAATCATTCTTGTAAGTTTATGCTCTGGTAGAGACAGAGAGGATATTAGGGGTTAATAAAAGGGTTCTAAGAAACCACGTGCTTGAAAATAATTGCCTGATTTTTGTTTGGAAGCCGAAACACACCATATCCACTTAAAAATAGCTTAAGAGATTTCCAGCTGAGCCTTTAGGAATTAGTTCCCTAAACATCTAGCCTGGAGTTGCGGATTACTGCAGGGCTTTGTCTAATATTAACAAATGAAATGTTCACTCTCTTCTATTATAAACCAATTTTCTGTTCGAATCAATTTTAAATATGTTCATTCCACTTCTTTCCTTGTCATCCCTGCCCTTAATAACTTTTCTCTTTTTTCTTACAGACAGGCAGCACCATCTGGCCTGGGATCACAAGTACAATTCAATGTGGAAGTTCTCTGTCAAGAGCTTACAGCTAACATAGTGAAATTAGAAAAGGTGACCTATTTCTTTCCTGTGTATGGGGGCAGTCACAGTAGTGCCTATTGATTGCCCTAGGTCAGCTCAGGGATTACACACTCAGACGCCGTTAGTGTGCCGCAATAAACCCACATGATCAACCTGGGCTGGGGGCTTTTCATAGTAAATGTGAAACAATATTTTTTATTTCCACAAAGAAACAGGTTTTAATCTCATTTTCCCTGAAATACCTAGTCTTGCGGGTCTTTTGTTTTTCCTCCTTGATTAGAAATATTACTTAATAGCACAGGGCCCAATGGTAAGCGACCTCTGACATCAGAGCTCAGTGTAGGGACATAGTAGGGAGTGAACTGGAGACCCACCACTGGCTTGGCCAGAAAGTACAGCCCCAACTCCACCCAGGCTGATCGCTCCCATACATAAAATATTGCATGTAAGCCCTATGAGAACCATGGAAGATAGGCGTCATTGTTCCCTATCTGATAGGAGAAGAATCAGAGTATCAAGTTAGCTTGCTGAAGGTAATACACCTAGAAAGGCAGCAGACTTGAGTCTGCTGAGAGAACATGAAAAGAAAAATATGAAAATGAAGTCAGCAGATCTGGAACCTGAACCAGGCCTGTCTGACTGCAAAGTTGTGCTTAGAAGCTCTCTGCTTTACTGTTCCTCAGAATTCAGCTCTAGGCTTTGTTGATAAGGCCACAGATGTACCTTTATCTCAAAGTGTCTACAGTCCAAACAATGCTAGGGCAAATCTGTCCTTAGCTTGTGGCATTCTTAGAAGGCAGCAGGAGAGTGAGCTGGAGAAGAAGATAGGCATGCCAGAAATATCCCAGAAATAAACCTGATTTACATGTCTTATTTTCTTCTCCTTTATCTGATAACTACTTTGTTTTTACTCTAATCCTTCAGGAAAGGCTTAGAGAGAAGAATCCAGTGTTCAGTTAGAACTGCTGTCACAAATGCCCAGTATTTGGTAGCTTTACATCATAGTACAGTTATGCTTACTTGGGAAGATGTATTTCTTCCTATTAAATACAAATTAGTAAAATTTCATATTAAATACAAATGAATAAAATTATCTTTGTTTTTCTACACTCAATGTTAGTATTTAATAGCTAAAGTATTAAAAGCAAAGGAGTTTCCAAACTTACGTTCTAAACCAAGTCAGGTCAGATAATTCATATTAAATCATTGTATTTATGGGCAAATGTGGAAAGTTCTTACATCGAGAATCAACCTAGAGAAGGTATGGGTTAGCTTTTTTTCCTTTTTAAACCATTAATTTCTGAGAATTGAAGAAAAATGATTTTTTTTAATGAAATGCTTACAAATGTTTGGCTTTCATGCAACCCAGAGAATGGAGTAGTATTCATTTTCAATTTTGTTCACTCTGACATACCAGTGATATTCTTTGGATTAGAAACACATGGGATCCTGCTGCCTTCTTTTGTGTTTCTTCCCACTCTCCCACCGGGCCCGGCCAGGACACCACGTTCTGTAATCAGGGAACTGAAAACAGAAGGGCTTGTTCACAGCAGGCCAACAGCCTCGGGTCTTGCGCAGGGTTCAGACAGCCTAGCAGGGAGGCCGGGGAGGTTTACAGGAGCACCAGTGGAGACCACCTTTGTCTCAAAGCAGAAACTGATTCAGTAAAAAGTGGATTTGGGGTCAAAATGCATGTGTTGATGTTCTAAAAAGTTAGAAGTTGCACACATTGCTCAAAAGAACCTAAGTATTAAAAAAGAGGTACCAGGCCACACCCGTGCTCTTTTTGACTCATCTGCACCTTTCCTCAGAGGCAGCTGGACGCTAGTGCAGCACAGCCTGCCGGTGAAATAGCAGCTCCACACCGTGGAGGTCTTATACTCCATACCAGCAGTTCCTTCTTCTCGCCTTCGGGGGCCGGTGATGTCTAAGCCTCATTATCTTTCTCTGCTTATAACTTCCCTATTTCTGTTCATGGCATCACTGCTTTTCCAGTCATCCTCATTGGCAATCGAAGAATAATTTTTAACTCCCTCTTTTCACCTGCCACTGATTGACTAGTTGGCAAATCCCGTGAAGTCTGTCTTCAAATGTCTCCTCAAAGTTTCTTCCCACAGGTACCATCCTAGTCCGTTCAGCCTTCCCACTACCAGTCAGATAGGGTGAAGCTGGATCTCATTGTGGTTTTCAATTGTATTTTCGTAATTATTACTGAGGCTGAACATCTCATATATTTATTGGCCATTTGGGTTTTCCTATGTAAATTGCTTATTTCCCTCCTTTGTTTTACTTTTGGGTTTTGTGTGTGTGTCATCATAGGTGTGTTTTGTGGATTTGGGATATCAGTTCTTTGTTTTATCCCTTTTTCTACCTCCCACTCCTGTTTTTCCATTTATCTTTCATCCCGAGGGATACATGAGGAAGAAACAAAGCAGGAAAGTGGGGGGAAAAGGCAATGTCTTTTATGGGAACTGAAGTAAACACTTATTTTCTTAGTTCTGGAAGTGGAATTAATGATGGAACAGTATAGTAGAAAGAGCATAAATATTGGAGTCAGGCCTTTGTTCTTATCCCTGCTCCACCACTTACTACCCACATAACTCATCCTGCTAGTTTGGCTCCCTGGCCCATGGTTTCATGTGTAAAGCCTGTCTTTGTGTAGTGTTGTGTGACTCAGGAGCAGGCATGCCTTTGCTGGCACTTACATCTCAGATCCCCTTCCTCCTCACTCACCTGAGAACACCCACAGGACATCACAGACTGTTCCTCTAATAAACAATATGTTCTTTCTTTTGATCTGCAAGGTTTCTACTCCCATCACAGGGCTGGTTGGAATTTCCTTGCTCTGATTCTTTTTTTTTTTTTTTCCCCCCCGCAGAACAGAGTCTTGCTCTTTTCACCCAGCCTGGGAGTGCAGTGCCACAATCTTGGCTCCTGCAACCTCCACTCCCAGGTTCAAGCAATTCTCCTGCCTCAGCTCGCGAGTAGCTGGATTACAGGCGCCCGCCACCACACCCTTTCTAATTTGTATATTTTTAGTAGAGACAGAGTTTCACCATGTTGGCCAGGCTGGTCTCGAACCCCTGACCTCGAGATCTACCCACCTTGGCCTCCCAAAGTGCTAGGATTACAGGCGTGAGCCACAGCACCCAGCCGCTCTGAATTCTTACAGGTTCCTTTATTCAACAGTCATTTACTGAGAACATTTTTGATGTCCAGCATTGGACCTGTCTTAAGATCCAAACATCTGATGTGGTTGGTCTCTGTCCCTGTGAAATCCACAACCTTCTTGTAAATGTTAAATAATAATAGCTAATTGGAGTAACAGGAGTGTTAAACATTATTACGTAGCATTTGTCTGATTAAAACCATCAAATGGGTTGTGTAAAGACCAATTTCCTGTTGTCTTCTAATGCATTTGGGTCACACTGGTGTTGCCAGTTCCTTGTTCTTTTCCTTTCATCTCATTTATCTCAGTCTCTACTGATATTTTCGTCTTTCTGCCATTCTCTCTTTTTTTTTAAAGCACTATATTCTCTCATTTTAAAAGTAGATTGTAAGCTGGACATGGTAGCTGACACCTGTAATCTCAACACTTTGGGAGGCTGGGGCAGGAGGATCACTTGAGCCCAGGAGTTCTAGATCAGCCTGAGAAACATGATGAAACTCCGTCTATACAAAAAGTGCAAAAATTGGCCAGGCATGATGGTGCACACCTGATGTCCCAGCTACTTGGGAGGCTGAGGTGGGAGGATCTGTTGAGCCTAGGAAGTCAGGGCTGTAGTGAACCATGATCACATCACTGCACTCCAGCCTGGGTGACAGAGTGAGACCATGTCCCAAAGAAAAAGTGGATTGCCAGAGTTCTAGTTTATGAAAAAGCATCTATTTGCCTCATCTAAATTTAACCCTTTTGTAGCTTTTTATTCAAAGTGGAATAATCTAGAACGCTATATAGACTATAGCAAATATGCCCTTAATATATTCCATTCTATTTAATAATAGGAGCTTCTTTTCTTTTATTTCAAGATACAAAATAACTTACAGAAGCTGCTTGAGAATGGTGACTGATCGACCAGATTGATTGGACCTTCGGAATACCTCATGTTTCCCTTTGAAGAAGGTGCTTCCCGGGGCGTTTTGTTTGAGTGCGCCCTGCTGGTCAGAGGCGCAAACAGATGAGAATCCAGACATTGCATGTGGCGGTCTCCAGCTCAGGAAAGTGGGGAGGGAAATAATTTTGGTTCTTGTGCAATAAAAGTTGACCTTGAGTCTCTGAGGAAGATTTTGCTGCTGCTGCCTGAAGAAAACAGACCCATCTCTGGTGGTCTCAGGAAGGGCCCAGCGGACACACTCTCTTGAATAATTACCATAATGGCATCAGCAAACACTCCACCCTGTGCCTTGTTCATCCTTCCCGCCCTCCTGCCTCTCCCTTACACCCCTCTTAACGACTTTCAAACTAAAGGATACATCTTATACGGACGAACTCAATGTGGTCCTTTCAAGAATTAGCCACAAGTCTGAAAAAGGCAATAAATGGCTCTAAGTGGACAGGTTTGCTTCAAACAAGTAACATCTACATTTTGTCTTTTTTTTTTTTTTTTTTTTTTAGTCCTCCTGTTATGTTCTGGTTTAAATCACCTGTGTATCTTAATTTCTCAATTCCTTTTTGGCAAGAATATCAAGCAAGGTGGATTTAACATTCCGTTTATGTTTTGTTTTGTTGCTGTAACTAATAGTTAATTGGACTGGTCAAGAATCTGTGAGGCATGTGACTGAAGTACTAAATTAAACTTATGTTGAAACCAAACCTAATTTTTAAGCCAAAAGGTATATAGTGATTTAATACAGGATGAAAAACACTGAATTTTTAAGACTGTAGGTGGACCATGATAGTAGTTTTGAAACAGGATGTCTGTATTCAGCATTCAATAATGCTAAAATCCATTTCAGCATGAAATTTGTATGTTTTTATCTTTTGCTGACTAAAATAAAATAACTGGTGGTATGCTATTTACCATATGGGTTGGCTGGTTTTTATTAATAATTGTTTAGGGTATCATAAGATCTGTAAGTATAAAGGATATTCTGTTTCTATCCACAATGCATTTGATAATCATTTCTATGAAATGTATTTTATTTAATCAGATAAGCTAATAAGTGAATTGGTTACATCGTTTGTATCTGTTAGCCTAGTGGACAGCTGTGCCTGGTGCACCTCTGGCTTTTAATAAATACTCATTGGTTGAAACGCCCTGCTAACACTGTGTTTTGTCAGTTGGTAAATTCTTTTAACCAAGACTTACTATGCTTTTTAACTCGTTTTCCACCTGCCATCTACTGCTTCCAACTCACTTATACTTCCTTCCTCCCAAGTATTCATTTCAAAACTGATAAAGGAATTTAAGTTCTTGGGTTACAATGGTTTAAAGGAAAGAAAATGAACTTTGAAGTCAAAAAAAAGGAAAAGAAAAAGACAATGCTTGATTCCTCAGTCCACATTTCATGAGTTATGTGACCTTTAGCAAAATATTTGGCCATATCCCCCCATTTTATTGATGAGGTTGAAAGTACCAGTAAAAAGTATCAGCATGAGGATTAAATGTGATACTGTCAGCCAGGTGCAGTGGCTCATGCCTATAATCCCAGCATTCTGGGAGGCCAAGGCAGGAGGATTGCTTGAGCTCAGGAGTTTGAGATCAGCCTGGACAATGTATCAAGATCCCATTTCTATTAAAAATAAAAATAAATTAGCTGGGTGTGGTGATGCATGCCTATAGTCCCAGCTACTCAGGAGAATTGCTGAAGTCTGGGAGACTGAAGCTGCAGTGAGCCATGATCACACCATTGCACTCTAACTGGGTGACAGAGCAAGACCTTGTCTCAGTCAATCAGTCAATGTGATGATGTCTCTAAAGCACATAGCCATGTCAGGCAAGTAGTATGCTTTCATAACAGCTACAATAGTCATTATTTTAAAAAATATTTGTATGCAACAGTAGTCCCAGCTACTTGGGAGGCTGAGGCAGGAGAATCACTTGAACCCAGGAGGTGGAGGTTTCAGTGAGCCTAGATCTTGCCACTGCCACTCCAGCCTGGGCAACAAAGTGAGACTCTGTCTCAAAAAAAAAAAAAAAAAATCATGTCTGACATTACAGTTTTATTAAAGTTCAGTGTCAATGCTTTCTATTCAAAACCCATTAGTGATTCAAGAGTGGGTCAGCCACCTCTGGAGAACAACTTTATAACCATATCAAGAGCCTCAAAAAGGCTCAGATTTCACTGAGTTTTAGTAATCTGCCATCTAGGAATTTATCCTAAAGCAACAATTAGAGGTATAGTAGAGTTTATATGCAAGAATATTCTTTGAAACCTCTGACAGCAAAATATTAGAGAGTCTAAATATTCAGTAGAAGAACAGTTAAATGATGTAGTTATTTAAAATTGCATTGTCAAAGAAAGGCATACAAAATATCAAAAATTGCATTAAAAGACATAAAACTATAGGGTATGATCCCAATTTTAGGAAGAAAACCCTAAATGTGTGTGTGTATATATATATATATACACACATACATACATACACAGAAACCCATACACATTTTCTGTATCCTACAGATTTTGTATAATGAACAGTCATTACCTTTTTTTTAATCAGATAAGTTAATTTAAAAGATTGGGTGACTCTCTGCAGGGAATCAGAACTCACAACTGCCACCCCCACAGCATGGCTGCTAGTTCTTTACCTGAAACCTTATTTCCCAACAACCACTACAGTTGACTCATCCAAAGCGAAAGAGAGCGCTGCCATTCCTAGGTTTAGTTATTGTTTCTGCTTTGCAGATTCTATTGTTTGTTTTGTTTCCCTTTACTAGCTTCCAAGTGAAAATCTGGTGCAGCTAGATCCGAATGGTGAAATCCAGGTTAAGCCTGCATACTAACGAGCATACCAAGCGAGAGAAAGCAAGCATCTGGGATTTTTACGCCTCTACCAACTAGGTTTTAAACGTAGGGAATTCTAACATAGGGGTTTCAGATGCTGAATGGCCAAATAGCAAATGTCCACCATATGTTTTGCCCTTCAAAACTTGTGTAATCTTAAAAAGATTATCAGTTGTAATACTATTTCTATGCACTCTAATATTTTAATCTATAATATAATTAAATACATACTATTTTGGTGAATAGAAATTACCAATCTTCCATAAGCTGGAAATGCTATTATTATTATTGTTGCCCTCTCAAGCTAAACATTTAAGATACCTTCCTATATATACTCCACAATACTCCAAAGCATTTCCCAGGTATTCATTTATGCAATTCCTTGAAACCAACCAAGAGACTTTTTTTTTTTTTCCCAGACAGGGTCTCACTCTATCATCACCCAGGCTGGGTGGCACAATCTCGGCTCACTGCAACCTCTACCTCCCAACCCATCCTCTCACCTCAGCCTCCCAAGTAGCTGGGACTACAGGTGCACACCACCACACCCAGCTAACTTTTTGTATTTTTAGTAGAGACAGGTTTTCGCCATGTTGCCCAGGCTGGTCTCGAACTCCTGGGCTCAAACAATCCACCTACAAATGTCACCCACCTCGCCCAGCCCAGAGACATTTTTTAAATGCTTTTTCCTTGTCTTACACAAGTTCATAAAGTCATGGAGTCAAGCCAAAAAAAAAAAAAAATTCTGACTTAAATATGAGTTGTCTTATATGCTATTTTGATTTGTGTATCCTAACAATAGTAAAATGCAGGTGATGCTTTCTTACTTTTTTGTTTCTGGTGATCTAAAGGATATGGACACTAATATGTTACGGATAGCTCAGGTGATTTTACTCTCAAGCATTTTTTAAGTCAAAATTCTACACCGGTAATAGTTATACTGCCATTTGAGGTCATAACCTGACCTACTGACAAAGGAGCCCAGTGATACAATATTATTTTAATATGCTTCTTTTACACCTCTCCCTGCTAATTACTATCATGCTACCAGATTCTTGCCTAAAAAAAAAGTCATTACATGAAGCATCTTTGATCACTGAATTTCCAGCGCTTCTTTGTTGTGTCTAGATGCTGAGTCCTTTTCTAATTTGAAAAAAAAAAAAAAAACAGAGACCTGATTCTGTTTCTCTCTTGTAGTTTCTCTTATCTCTGTTTCTAGCCACTCTATGTAGTGCCTCTCTTTTTTTTTCTGTACACACACAAGGAGCATCCACAATACCAATAATCTCAGTAGTGGTAATGAAAAGTGGAAGGGGAAAATGGCCCTTGCTTCTCACAGACAAACTCACTAATGGATCATTTTTGTTTTGTTTTGTTTCGTTTTGTTTTTGAGACAGAGTCTCACTCTACTGCGCAGGCTGGAGTGCAGTGGTGCAATCTTAGCTCACTACAACCTCCACTGCCCGGGTTCAAGTGATTCTCCTGCCTCAGTCTCCTGAGCAGCCGGTTTATGGGCGCCTGCCACCATGCCCTGCTAATTTTTGGGTTTTTTTAAGTAGAGATGGGGTTTCACCATGTTGGCCAGGCTGGTCTTGAACTCCTGACCTCAAGTGATCTGCCCGCCTCAGCCTCCCAAAGTGCTGAAATTACAGGCATGAGCCACAGCGCCCTGCCTCAATGGATCTTGATGAGCTACACAACCCATTATTTTTATGTCTTTATGAATGCCACTAGAAAGTTTCATTTTGTTCTTTCTGAAAACAACTATGATTATAAAACCTCTTCTGATACACGGCAGTAAGAGAACATGTTATACAGAGAAGCCTGCGTCCCTCTGCCCTGCCACCACGGCACCTATGCTAAGCATATTATAGACAGAAGGACGTCCATCTGCCTATGTAAGCTCTTGTCCGTTTATTCTCGGACTCTGTCCAGTTAGTGACCCTATCACTCCTTTGCTCCTTCTTCATTTGAGGACTATGGCTGTGAACTCTATTTCTTCCTCTCTGCACATATATAGGCTACAGGAGGAAGTAACAAAAATCTTCCCCCACACCCAGAGCTAAATATTTTTTGCCCCAAGCTGAAAGTTCTCTAGTGAAAATGCAGTTCAAGGCCATGGATGCAGGAGAGAAGCAGATTTGTTGGCTGCTAAAAGGAATACCTGTACAGTTTTGTCTAACAGCACCATCCTAACAGCATTCTGATTTGTTTTATTCTCCATTTTTAACACCTTTGTTGATGTATAATTTACATACAGTAAACCACATACTTAATGTATACAATCTTGTTTTTATGTACACGTGTACTCGAGAAACCATCACCACAATCAAGATAATAAACATCCATCACCCCTTAGAGAAACCACGTTACAATCCTTCTCTCATGCCCCTACCTACATTCTCCATTCTAAGCAACTGCTGATCTGCTTTCTGTCTCTGTAGATTAGTTTGCATTTTCTAGAATTTCATATAAGTAGAGCCATATAACATGTACTCTTTTTTTGGTCTGGATTCTTTCTGTCAACATAATTATTTTGAGATTTACCCATTTTTTGCATATTTCAATAGTTTATGCCTTTTTATTGCTCAACAGTATTCCATTGTATGTGTATAACACAGACTGTTTATCCATTTGCCTGTAGACGGATATTTGGGTTGTTTCTAGTTTTTTGTTGTTGTTCTTAATACCAATAAAGCTGCTGTGAACATCTGGCACCAGTCTTTGTAAGGATATGCACTTTCATTTCTCTTGGGAGTGGAGTTGCTGGGTCATATGATACATGTATGTTTGACTTCAATGGTGGGCTCAGTGGCTTACATCTGTAATCCCAGGACTCTGGGTGGGCAGATTGCTTGAGGTCAGGAGTTTGAAACCAGCCTGGCCAACATGGCGAAACCCCATTTCTACTAAAAATATAAAAATTAGCAGGGCACGGTGGCATGCACCTGTACTCCCAGCCAGTTGGTAGGCTGAGGCACGAGAATCACTTGAACCTGGTTGCCAGAGGATGCAGTGAGCCAAGAAATCATGCCACTGCACTCCAGCCTGGGCAACAGAGGGAGACTCAGTCTCAAAAAAAGAAAAAAAAAATATATATATATATATATATATATGTGTATATATATGTTTAACTTCAGAAAAAACTGCCAAATTGCTTCTTCAAAGTATAGCATTTAACATTTCCACAAGCAGGGTGAGAGCACCAGTTCCTCAAAACCCTCACCAACACGTGATATCAATCTTTTAAATTTTAGACATAATGATATAGGTGTGTTCTGGTATCTCATTGTAGTTTTAATTTGCATTTTTCTAAAGAC